CTTTGGTTAAGTTTATTCCTAGGTATTTTATTCTTTTTGTTGCAATTGTAAATGGGATGGTATTCTTAATTTCTCTTTCTGCTACTTCGTTGTTAGTGTAGGCATCAGGACTTTAGAAGCTCCACAGGTGGTTCGAATGTGAGGCCTGGACCGTGAACTACTGTATTGGATGTTTTCCTGAGGGTCTTGGGAGGAAGTACGCTCTCTGAGGGAAGAGCCTGGGAGGTACCCGGACAGATGGCTGCAGGGTTCCATTGCCTGCACTCCTCCCCTGCACTCCCCCTGTCCCTCATCACTGTCCTATAGGAACACTTATTTCCAGGAGCTCTCCCCAGTCACCCTGTCCATGGGCATGGTTCTGTGGAAAAGGCTCCAAGGACATAACAAAGTCAGAGGTGTTTGGCAGGGTAGAAAAAGGCCATGGTAGGCACATGGCTAAAAGGGCTCTACCAACAAAGAACCAATTTGGGTGAGAATTCTCTGAAATTCTGGGGAAGATTTAGTGACTTTGGAGGAGGTCAGCTGAACTCTCTGTGTAATGAAGACCCAAAGATGTCAAGAAAAACAAAGATGGTGTGTGGAGTCTTTCATCTTTCTAGCTCTGTCCCCAGCTTAATATTATGCCCAGCCACAGCAGCTAATTCTGCCTGTCAATCCAACCTGCATATAAAGTACTTGAACACCTACTCTGAAAAGGTGGGAATCCCTGCAGGCCTTACCTGGAAATGACTCCAGTGGGATGTGAGGGAGGATGTGATGGCCGCTGCAAACCATAATTGCGTCAAAGACAGCACGTTGCTCCTTGCCGTTGCTCTCGGTAACAACCTCCCATTGGCCAGATGATGAAAAATCTGGGTGTTTTTTCACACTGAGGACAGTTGTCTTGAACAAACACAGAGAAGGCATCATTGAGAATTACTCTGGCATAACGTGGGCCTTGTCCAGTGCCCTGGGAGCGGGGATGGGGAGAGTGCAGTGTATGACTCCATTTAGGTTTCATTTGAATCCATTCCAAGCCCCTTAAGGCAAAGACTGCTAAGTGCACCCTATCATTCTTCTTTGGCAGGGAGCTGCCAAAGATATGCTTCTTTGTGCAAGAGGCCTGACTCAGCAGTGGGAACCAGTCTGTGAAGGACTGAATAAGGACTTGACAGAGACACAGAAGAGGAAGACAAGGTCTTCCAAGATACAAAACACATGCCCATCATTCAAGTGATCACACAATCAGTATTTATCAAGAAACTTTCATGTGTCTACCTCTGTGCAGACTCTGTATTAGAGAAGATCGTTCACGTGAAACACTTGGCAGAGCACCTGGCACATTGTTAGTACTCCATGAATGGTGGTTAATCATATTTATTATTTTTTTATTTTATTTTATTTTATTTTATTTTATTTTATTTTGTGAGGAGACCAGCCCTGTGCTAACATCTGCCAATCCTCTTTTTTTGCTGAGGAAGACTGGCCCTGGGCTAACATCCGTGCCCATCTTCCTTCACTTTATATGGGACGCTGCCACAGCATGGCTTGCCAAGCAGTGCATCCGTGCGCGCCCGGGGTCTGAACCGGGGATCCCCGGGCCGCTGCAGCAGAGCGCATGCACGTAACCGCTTGCGCCACCAGGCGGGTCCCCATATTTATTATTTTTAAAACGGGGTACATCATGTTAGCGATACAGTTTGTGATTTCATTTGGGTGAAATAATTTATTGGTTCATTGATTTTTTTTTCAATATAGCTCGCAGTCTGGAGGTCTATGAATCTTTAAAAAGTGTGCATAAACGTTGTGTGTCTGCTGTATTTAAGAAACAATGTCAAATGGAAGCGAAGCTTTTCTCATTTCTAGAGGAATGGCATGCTTCTCCTCTTTTTCGCAAGTATTTGAGTCACTTACGCATGCTTTTCAAGTTTTCAGATATTTTTCAAAATGCTGGGTTGTTAATTTTTGAAGCTGTTTCAATTTAAAAGTGTATAAGGAATAATAGTATAAAGCTTGTGAAAGGACTATAAAATGTCTGGGCATTTTCAGCTGAGAGTAAAGATTTCAGATTGGTAATTCAGAATAGCATATTAGCTCAAGTACTGTGGATTCTCGCAGCTCAAAATGTGGTTAGAGGACCAACACCTTCAGTATCGCTCAGGATACTATTATTAGAAATGCAACAGAGCCTTTTACATTTTGAGTTCAGTTCTAACATCTTATGACTTGCACCAACTCAGAGACACATAAGTGGAAATGAGTTTTCCTACCCCTCCCCAACTTCCAGAAAATAATAACAGCAGTAACACAATAAACAAGAAAAATGGTTCCCTTGCAACGCTAACATGATCTTTAAAAGAACAGATAATATAAATTACATATCATAAGAGGTTAGTATATCTGTTAAATAGGTTGATAGCTAAGTGAACAGAGACCTATAAAAGATTCTGGTATAAAGAATCTGTCATTTATAGGATGGATCTACCAGGAATTGGGGAAAAAACTACATTAGATAGAATAGGACATTTTAATGGTATTTACAAATATAGATTTTCACCGAAATCAATCATTATAAATTAATATAATACAAACCTGGAACAAAACTAAAATTACAGCGAAACTGTGTTAAGAAAATAAGCTCTACTAGCAGTTACTTATTCAGAGATATACTTTAAACTTTATTTCCTAAGCATAGTTACTGGTTTTCAGAGTGTGGGTTATTGATAAAAATTCAGTATGTTTAGTGAGAATATTGTTTTTTTTTCTTTTGATTATTTGTTTTTGAGAAAGCACAGGCAAGGCCATTCTAACTGTATTTCAAAATCATCTGGCCATCCTCATGTTGCTAGAGAATGCATCCAAAAGAAAAAAAATTAGGAAAAATAATTTCTACAGGCTTCTGAGGTAAATGGAGAGCTGTAAGTTTATTTAGTACATTTTTCTAAGAAATTCCATTTCTATAGAGAAGGTAAGAAAATGGAATAGCAGTTTGATTTTTTTTATGTTCTTTTAAGAGAAATGAGGCTAAGGGTCTTCAGTGGTTATAGATAGTTTAAATGCAGTTTCTCCATCCATATCATCATCATTCAAACCTTTAATTTTAACAGATGTTTCTTCTTCTGTTAATGAATATAATCTGTAATATTAGGGGTAATGACTTTTTACTTTTTGGGTTTTCTATCATGCTATTATCTTTTAGCAAAGAATTGGATTGGAATACTTTGTTTTATTCACAATTTCTTTTATTATCAGAGTAACTTCTCTATTTAGATGTGAGCTGAAGTGATGTAGAGAAAACCATTCCCAATACAATACCTGGAACTGAATATATTTTAGAAGATCAAACTTTTTGGCAAAAATCCTGAAATATTCCAGGAGCTTAGAATTGTGCAGGAAGTTTGGAAAATGTTCAGGCATTGGAAAGTCACTGAAGCAGGACATTTCTTTGCTGGTGTTGGTGATGACAGATTGATAGATACTCGCTTGGCCATCTTCAACATTTTCCTAAAGGATCAGATAAAAGAGCGATAAACGTGCATTAAGAAAATCCTTTGATTTCCTCCTCTTCTTCCAAATCTAACCCCTGGGTGATGTGATCCTCTTTGGTTGCTGTAGTGTGCCTGAGATGTCTGGACGATGAGGGGCAGCATATGTGCTCCACCATCCTGTATGATAGGGCCTCACTGGGGCCTTCCAGTGTTGCTTACTGGAGGCACTAGTGCCTTTGGTGGGATTGGGAGTGGGGACAATTCTTCTTTTGGCACATTGCAGGATATTTAGCATCCCAGGTCTCTACCCACTTAATGTCAGTCATGCCCCTTCCAAAATTGCCCCTGGGAGGCTACACCCACCTTCCACCTCTTAAGGAACCAATAAACCCTAGGACACTGGTCAGAGAACATAATAGAAAATTTCAGTTAAAATGAGTACTTGTGGGGGCAGGGAGTTTTCACATCTTAATTTGAACCCCCCACCTTCATTTTATGCTTTATGCAAATCAACCTTCCTCAAGCGATAAAGGTGAAAAGCAGCAATACCAATCAAATCTTAAACTTGATTCTGAATTTTAGCGAGTATGCTTTGGTAAACCAGAGGCAGCACAAGCTATGGTTGAGTTTATAATTTCCTCTACGAGAAGCGCTCTGCATAATGATAATGTCCTCTGTGTTAAATCATGACCAGAACAAAGCATGGCGATTCAATGTCCCTGAAATCAACATGTTATCAAAAAGGCTTTTATAAGAAAATTTAAATAATGCCACCCAAGACCTCCTCAATAGATGCTTCTGCACATGCAGAGACTAAGGCATAATCCAGGCAAATAGTAGTTGCTATTATGACTCAGCATTAGGGTGGGGTGTAAAGAAATGGAAGGGATGTAGGAACTCATTAATTAATTGAAATAAATTACTTAATCTTACATAAACAACACTGTAGTCTCTTCCACAGAGTAGTAAATAAAGGGAAGTAAATATTCAACTCTAATCCTGTAACCACAATAAGTCAGTTGTGCATGTTCGTTTCTCATCATTATTCATAGAAAAGCACTACTTTCCTGCCAAATCTTTAGATCAAACCTCCTTAGGTTTTTGGCAACACTGAAAGAGGCTGCCTGGACTAGCAGGAAGAGCTTTGGAGTTACACACAGGTTTGAATCCATCTCTTTCAGATTGTATGAGGCTGGACCAGTCCATGCCCCTCAGCTTCAGTCCTCTCATCTGTAACACAGGGATGTAGTAGGTGCTCAATGGTATTGTTATTATCTATTGTCATTGAGGAAGCTACGAGCTTCAGCGAAGCTGTCAGTTACAGCTCATTGTTCACTGCAGTATAAGAAAGGCAGCTTGGGTAGCTGCTCTGACACCAAAGTAACTGACATAGATGTACTCACTATCACGCCTGAGTTTTCTGACAGTTTCTGTACAAGAGGTTGTACTTAATTTCAGAAAGATAACAAAGAGTAAAGTGTGTGATCTTGCCTTTTCTATCAGCAAAGCTCTTTATATGTATTGGGCTTCACTGTGTCCTAATTTCAAGGATTATCAGTATCAATATGAGTCACCAAAGCTAAAACAATGTTTGCTCTCAGATCACATCAGTTAAGAGCAATATATAGAATTCTTGCTAAATATAGGGCTGAATTTGTAAAGATCCTCCTCCATCACACATTCCTTCTCTCTCTTTCTTTCTCATTCGTGCACTCATTTATCCATCCATCCATCCATCCATCCATCCATCCATCCATCCATCCATCCACTCATGCCTACCATAGGCCAGGAGTCAAATGCCTTTTTCCCTGAGCAATGTGTTCATCTTTCCTAGTCCAGAATCAAGGCTCAGATGATAACTTTGTTAAAATTTCAAATGGTTTGGTAAAAGCTCTTCAGATTAGGGTATGCCAGCTTTCCAGGTGATTAGAGTTTGATGTGGTGTTATTGTTAACTATATGTATTAGAATACAAAAGGGAGTTTGTATTAGAATATGAAGTGGTTTCTGTCATACACGAGGATACAATGATCTGAACTCTGGATGAATAGATCATGGTATTTTAACTTTCAAACACTTTTTCAAATTGCATATTACTAGAGTCAAACTGACGTGTAAACTCTTTTTAGATATTTCAGCATGATTGAACACAACGTCCTGGGGAAGACTGAGTGTCTGAATTTCTTACCCAATCAAGTTCTCAAAATCGGAAATATTTCATGAAGCAAAGAAATACTAATCTTTTCTCAAGACCAGATAATTTCACAAGTAGTACAGAGTAGAGGTAAACGTGAGGGCTCTGGAGTCAGACTAGGTTGATATCCTAATTCCACCAGTTTTAATGGTTTTATAAACATGGGCAAGTTACGTAAGTCAGTTTCCTCATTTTCTCCTATAAAACGGGGTTCATTAATAATTCCAAAATTCAATAATTGTTATGAGGCTTTAACAACACTACATAAAGTTGCTTAGCACAATGCCTGTCTCTCGGTAAGTGCTTAATACACGTTTGTCTCTATTGCTATTATTATACACCACTAGAGTTAATCTTACTGAACCATTCGTAGTTTTGAAACAGCTAAACTAAGACTGACTGTTATACTATAGCTAACATGTTAGTTTTTTCAAAAGCCAGTAAATTGGCTTTAAAATGTGGTTGGCTCGTCTGTCAGGGCAGTTTTAAGAGGACATCGAGTGATGAGAAGAACTGATTCTGATGTCTGAGCCCCTACAGTAATTTCAGAGCCAGGGCAAGACCCTGTTTTGGTGATCTTACCTGTGTAGTTTGTCACCAGTTGATGATGACATCACAATTCTTCTTCTGAAGGTCAAGTAATAATCTTTATTGTTGGGTTAGTTGCTATACAGCAGTTAAAAAAAAGCTTTGTGTCTATATGTGCTTCTTCCTATCTTGGCTGAAGTAAGGTAGACGTCTACGTGTTTAGACAAATCTGGGTAAAATTGGTTGAGTTTGCCCAGGGTTATAAAAGGAAGATGACTCTTATTGATTTTCTAAACAAGTATATGTCAACTATCTCTCCTGCTCAGGCTCTGAGCGTGGAGTTAATGATAAGATACAAACAGGACACATACAGTTTCTGTCTTCAGGGGGCTTATTACTATATTGAATTAAAATGCATTTGGGCTTTGGGGATAGGAAAGTGGAGACAGAAAGAGATGAGGGGCTTTGCTCTTAACCAAGACAGGGCAGGGAAACACAGCTTTCAAAACAGATAAATTTAACTCACATATTTACTTAAAATACAAGCGCTGCCTAAAAATGATATTTAAGCACAAATACAGATAAATAGTCTGAATTTCCTAGCAGATAGAATTTGCTAAAATTTACGTAAGATAAATAACTATATGATACAGTATTTTACTAATATGAAATTTTCAGAATGTCAGAAAACTATATAGCAAAACCAAGTTAGTTCAGACAGCACTGATTTAGAATTTATGATCTTTGGTTATGGGTTGAACTGAAGTGTATCTCTGACTCTATAAAAATAAAAACGTTGTAAAAACTAAACTAAGTTTAAGGAAGATTATAAAGGTAATATTTAATCTACTCAAGGGAGCAAACTTATAAAGCAAAAATGGATTCACATATTACAAATTACAAAAATGAATTACCAACACTTATAAATTAGTCTTTTCATTGTGAACCATCATTCTACTGACCGCTACCAATCAACATTTTGTTCTCATGGCTAGTTACTCTAAACAGCTGGAAATAATAAAATTGTATTTCTTTAAAAATATTCTATGATTCCATCTTTTCACCCTTTCAGGTGGACCTTATATCTATCTGCTTCATTACTTAAAATAAGTATAATTGAAGCTCTTTTTACTTACTTTTCCTTTTGCTGAGGAAGATTAGCCCTGAGCTAACTTTTGTGCCAATCTTCCTCTACTTTATATGCGTGTTGCTGCCACAGTGTGGCTGACGAGCGGTGTATGTCCGCTCCCGGGATCCAAACCAGCGAACCTGGGCTGCTGCCGAAGTGGAGTGTGCCAAACTTAACCACTACGCATAGAGGCTGGCCCCATCTTTTTACTTTTTTGTCCTACAATTTGAAGCAAGATTGTGGTTCCCAAACGCCAGTCAGTGGACTAGTTGCATTAGAAGAATTCAGGGGAGCTTTGAAAATGTAAAGTCTAAGTAGGTCTGGTTTGGGCCCAGACACATGTATTTTAAAATTGCTCTCCAGCTGATTCTTATGCACACTGAACTTTGGGAACCACCATCTTTATTAGAGCACAGCTGCGTTCTGCCATCTCTCCATGAGGCTTGTGCCTCCCTCCATCTCTGGCCTTGATGACTGACAGAGCCCCCTAATTAAACTCCTTGACTCGGATATTGCACACTGTCTTCACAGCCTTCAGGGCAAAGGGTACACTCATTGGCATAGGACACAGTTCCTCATGGTGGCACCCTGGCTATTCTCTCTAGCCTTGTCAGTTATCACCCGCCTGCGTCCTTTACTCCAGCCATATCACCTGACTTTCTATTCTCTAAGTGCGTCAGGTTTCTCAAGCTTCCATACCTTTGCACAAGCCGTTTGCTCTGCCTAGAACACTGTTTCTTCATATTCATGTGCCTGATCTCTGCGTGTTGTCAAGACAAAGAAAAGCATCTTGAGATAGTCTCTAGAAGCCTGCCCTCTTCTCTGCTGAGTGAGATTCTGTGCTTTCCACAACACTTAGTGTATCAGGCCTTATAAAATTGCACTCTAACATGGGTTTTCTTTAGTATTTCCTCTTCTGAACTATGAGCCTCTTTTGACAGCAAGGACTGTACATTTCTGTATTTTTAGCACCTAGTATATGCCTAGCGCATAGTAGTCAATCAGTCTATATGTTTGTTGAACGAATGAAAGAATAAGTGATGTAAATCAGAAGCACTTTTCCATCACTGCAAACAGCTTAATGATACTAAAATGGACATTCGGTAACATGATGGAATAAGGATGGTTTTGCTGACAGTATGCTACAAACTTTGTTCTGTTTTATGCTGCAAACATTATGGTTTTGCTGATAGTAGGCTATAAGCTGTTGTGTTTTATGCATGAAAATGTTATGGTTTTGCTAATAGTAGGCTATAAACTGCTGTGTTTTATGCACGCAAACATTATGGTTTTGCTGATAGCATGCTATAAACTTTATTCTGTTCGATACATGCAAACATTACTTCTGTAAAAATATGGAAATTTAACCAAAGTATATCTTAAATTGCTGGCAAGGAGGCTTATATTTGATTGCCTGGAGAGTTACAAGTATCTAACATGTTAAATTTGGTTCCATTAAATGGACAGCAGGTGCAAACCCTAAATCATATTGAATTATGCTGTGATAGATCCTTTGGATGAATTTATCTAAGAAAACTTCTGAAAGTAAAATAAGGGTAAGGCAGTTATCTCTTCTGGAAAGGAAATGGCTGTTTTTTCTAAGCTGGACTTGTATAATATTAAACGTTAAGTGAACAGAATGTACTATTAAAAAGAACATGCCAATAGAAACAGAAGAGATGCTGTGAGGTATAGAAAAAATAGATGGAGTACATGTTTAGGTTGGCGTGGAGATGGCACCATATGGGAAGTTCCATTTGGTGATTTCCGAGGTGCCTGCTTCTCACTTTTATCTTTTTATGATCAACATTTTAATCAATAACTTTGATGGAGACAAATACAGATGGTCAAATTCATATATACCCAAAGCATGGAGGCATAGCAAACTTGACAGAGGATTGGAATTTCAAACAAACATTTATCGACCAAGGATCAAACTAAATAATGTTTGATATGCACAAATGTGCATTTCTGTACATGGGATTTAAAAAAATCAGTTTCACAAGGATAGGATAATAATGACCTGGATCATCAATGGCTACGATAAAAAAGATCCAGGGATTTTTAATTGAACCCAAAGTCAGTATAAATTATTAGTGTGATATGAGAGGAAACATGACGGTGAAACTATGTGTGTTTAATCTCAGTATTGTGGCTGGTTGTAAGACCTATCACCTACCACACTTATTAGTCACTGTGGGCAAGTCCCTTACCCTTGCCTTTCTTACTTTTAAATTGGGATTAATAACTAATGTAGCGGAGTCTTGAGAGCATAAAATGAGATAATTCATATGAAAATAGTTATGTAAATGTTAGCTTTTATTTTGTGAATGCTGAAAAAGTGAATGCAACATTCAACTGTTTTACTAGAGGTGTAGCGCCCAGGCCAAGAGAAGCGCAAGTTACAGTGGGCAATTGTCAGACCAACTGATTATAAATTCTTTGAGGGCAGTGATTCTGTCTGATTCATTCTCCATTGTCTAAAGCAGTGCCAAGCACCCTTTTGGTTCTGAAAAATACATATTGCAAAAATAGATTCATTTGATATATTGGATCTTGGGGGAGTCACATTTTAAGTGAGAAAGTGGTATTTCAGATTGAATCTAGAGGAAGGAAACCAAGATGGAGAGACGTCTAGAGACTATTATATGGAGATTAATTAAAACAATTGCATATATATAGCTGGGAAAAGAAATATTTATATCTAAATATTAAAAAACAAAAAGCAATGTATATTGGTAACTTCCCTGTGAACACAGGTATCAGGAACACTAAAGGAGGCAGAGCAGCTTAGTGGCTGAAGGAAGATCATGCTTTCCTCTCTCAATACCTCAGTCAGGTTACTAAGTGGGAGGGCTGAGGAATCTTACAGACCTTCATTTTTGTGCTTTTTTCCACCAAGGTTCCCCTGGGCAAGTTGTTTATTCCGAACCTCAGTTTCTTCTTCATGTGTGAGTAAGGATAATCATAAGACCTACTTCCTAGGAGTATTGTGAAGACAAATGAGATGATGCATATCAAGTGCTTCCCATTGCTGGAAAAAATGCTAAGAATGTATGTTAATTACCCACCCTTCTCATGTTCCCAAGCTGCCACGAGGAGGTGCTGGAGAATGTTTTGGAAGAATTCAGCACCCTCTGAGCTGGGCTTGGAACAAAGATTCTTAAATTTGATTTTAACTCATCACCACTAAATGTGTTAAGTGATTTTAGAAGGATTGTGTGTAAATAGAGAAATTAAAGTATAACCTATTTTTAAAATCGATTCTGGAGTTGTGAAGAGGCTAAGTTTCCCTGGGAGTGGGTGTGGAGGCTCCCAGCATCCTTTTCAGCATCTGTTCCCCTTGGCTATCCCATCTCCTGGTAATCAAGACCCTCACATGGCCCCACTGGCAGCCTGTGAGATGTTGCATGTTGTACGTTTCACTCTGCAGGGAGATTCTTCGTCTTCTTTGGACAGAGAAAATTGTTCACATTTCTCTACTGGATATAGTTTTAAGAGAGATTTGAAATGTGATATTGTTACAGGTTCCAGTGAGTTATACACTTAACCATTTTATATCTAATAAGGCTTAACTAATTCAAATTTTAACATAAATTTTCCAACCCATAGGAATGTGTCTCTAATTCTGAAATTTTAGACACTGAGAATAGGATAGCAGGAGAAATATTTTGGGGCAGAAAGTACCTTCTTGGAATTCATTGAATCATATTTTTGACAGACCACTCACAGTAACTCTCACCTCTTCTGCTGCATAGCAGAATCAAATTAATGATAATCAAATAAGGAACATTTGGCTTTTCAATATTAAATCCCAAATCAAGTAATAAAACAAAAAAATGACAAATTTATTATTAAATATAAATTTGTTATAATTTCATATTTCTTCCTTAGGTTAAAAATCTACTTGGGGAAAAAGTCTCAAAAGGAATCTACATGTGACAAAAATAACACATCTTTGGTTAAGACAGGAATGACCACCTTATTATATCAGGAAAAGCTATAATGATTCTAACATCTAATTGTTCATAAGAAATGAATGCAATTCAACATGTTTTTCCACTTTCCTCTCTGCAGATTCATCTGTCCTGTATGAGGATCAACAACTCCACCATTAGCTCTGAGTTTGTTTGGATAGTTGAATGAATAGATTTTTTATTTGGTATTTGTGCAATGTTTGTCAAACGTCTCATTATAGGATTTATTTGGGACTCTTGTTAAGAATAGATTCCCTTCCTCAGAAGATTTTGATTCAGTAAGTCTGGGCTGGTGTTCAAGAATCAGTATCTTGAAGAAACCCTCTAGGGGTGTCTTATAGTCATACACATTTGTGAAACCTAGTGTTAAAAAATCTCTTTTGGCATGAGATTCAGTTCCAACTGGCAAAACATATGTGCTAGATGTCCTTGCCATCCCCCTAATCAGTCAGCTTGTAGGAGGAGCCCTTTAGATGGTCTCTGCTGATGTGAGAATCTGCTGTTCATGCACTCAAACCTTTCACTCCTGTCTGGAGTATTCCCGTTTCAATCCCTCACTTAGATGTACCTGATACATAATCCTAAAGTTGTTGCTCTTGAGTTCTGAGTTGAAACTTTTGTTTAACCTTTTTGAGCAAGAATACAAGTTAGGGAATGGTTATAAGTAGGAGCTTAGATGTTTAGGAGTCATATTGACCCAGGTTTGAATGCCAGTTCCTCGAGCTGTGTGACCATGACCAAGTTGCATAACTTCCCTCAATTTCTGTTTGTTTGTCTGTAAAATACTGTAAATATAGCTATCATAGCTAACATTTATTGTACTCTATTATAAATTCTTTCCACGAATTATCTCCTTTAATCTTCAAAACAGCCCTATGAGATAATTACACTTTTCTGTTATTATCCCTATCATACAGCTGAGAAAACTGAGATACAGGGGTATAAATAATTTGCCCAAGATCTCACACCTCGAAGGTGGCAAGCTAGTATTTCCTCAAAAGATTGTGGGAAGGAATGATTATGAATCTTTACAGCTGTCTATCTATGTATCTTTCTCATTTTTATACAAATTCAGAAGGACAGCCGGCATTACTAATATTTGGGTTTGGCTAATAGAATGAATTTAATGAATAGAATATATTTAGTAATATATTTAAAGAGTTTCCCAGCAGTTACACTAGCATGTCATCAGTAAAGTTAAGCAAACAAATACAGTTTATCTATCAGAAAAAAATAAAGTCAGTAGTAATAAGAGCACACTCGCTGAAAAAACATTTGCTCATTGATTGGAATAGAAGTGGTGTCCTGAAAAGAATCCCTGTCACTTCTATTTTGTAAAATGTTGTCTAATATTAGTATATTGCTTTGAGAACGACAAAAATATGGGCTTCAAGACAATTGCTGGATCCATAAGAAGAGATCCTTTACATGCCTGGGTTGGCCTCCTGAGTTAGAATAGCAATAGCCTGGGAGAGGTGCCAGCCTATTTCTTCGGTTCCTGTATAGCAGCATGAAACTAATCAGATCAAAGTTGCTTAGGAAATCCCTCAGTAAGGCCCATCAGTAGCTATGATTCACCCTGCAATAACAGCACAACCTGTTCAAGAAACAAGAAGATCTCACTTTGAACCTCCACAGCCCTCCGATGTCTTCAGTCCTCTCAAAGCAGGTGGGCTCAAGCCCCTCATCCACACAGCACTTCAGAGAGGCCAGGCCACTGACTCCAGCTCCAATCACTGCTACCTTCTTTGCCATGGTCTCCTGTCATGGAGTCGATCAATCAACGCTGCTTCACTGGGGCAAAAGATGAGAGAGTGCTTAAGGTGTGGTCAGCAATGGGCTTTAAATGCTGGAGCAGTGGTAATTTAATAAGCAGCACTAATTGAATAAAATGCCTGACTAGTCAAATCCCAGTCTCCTCTTCCCTTGAGAGAAGCCAAGTTGTCTCCTGAACTTCGCTGCAGACCTTTTTACAACGTCTTTGTTCAACATTTTAAAGCAATGCATTTAACAAAGCCAAACGATTCAATAACACAGTACTAGGGATATGAGCCAAATCTCCTATTATGTTCTTGACAGTGCTGAACTTTCCTTCCCAGCTGCTTTCCCTAGTAATCATCCTTACCTTCCTTTTTGCCTTTTGACGCTGCCTGCCGTCTCTTTGACAGAATAGTTTTCTCTGTTGGTTGTGTGCTGGGAGGCAGTCGGAAGCCTTTTAAGAGCTGGAGGAGGTTATGAGAAATGGGAGGGGCTCGTCACTCCTCCTTCAGCATTCTGCCAGCTGAAACTCCAAGGAGTTTGTGAAATTAAGCAAGAGGCTCATATTCTGAGGTCCAGGGTGACTATGGAATGTCTTTACAGTAACAACATCATACACTTTCACACATACAGATAGTTTAAAAATCCTTTTTATAAGGGATGTGACCAATGTTCATTAGCAAATTATTAAATATGGATAAATAAAAAGAAGTTAAAATTACTCCTAACCTCATCATACAGAGATAACTATAACCACTGTTGACATTTTGGTATATCTTTCCAGATATTTATATATATACACATATATACACACAAATAAAAATGGAATCATACTCTAAGTATAATTTTCAACTTGATTTTTCACTTTCCAGTATATTGATAACTTTTTATCTATAGCAGCCTTCTTTAGTGTCTGCATGAATTCCATTTAGTTGATGGATTAGGTGTCTAGCTAACAAATATTCATTTCAAGTGTTAGGTACTGTATCTGGCATATAACTGTGCCTGAATGAATAAGACAGATTGTGTCCTTGATCTCATAGAATTTAGATTCTTGTGTTGGCCTGGCTTTCCTAGACTTGACAACTTCTGGATCCTAGCACTCTGTGCTTACCTGTTCCTAGATGGCTTACCCTGCCAGACCATATCTCATCTTGATCTTTCCCTTAGGTGGATGCTGGCTTGGATGAACCTAGCGGGACTTCTACAATCTTCCTGTCCATTGCCCATTTTTCGGCTTGATACAGAGCTGGGTAACTTACTTTTGCTTATAATCTCAGCTATTAGTACGAACATTAAGTAGGAAGAGTAAATCAAGAGGCTATAAAGCCCTTGTGTACCTTGGATATAGCCTAAATGATGAAGGTAAAAGACTCTGTTCTTCAACCAACATGACCAGTGGATCTCAGATCCCTGAGATGTTTCTCATAAACTCATTCAACAAATATTTATTGAATACCTCCTAGGTGCCAGACACAGCAATGAACAAAAAAGACAAAACTCCTTGCCCTCTTGGACCTTGCTTTCTAATAGGGGAGCCAGAGAAGCAATTGATAAAACAAAATAAACAAGTATGGTAGATGGTGCTGAGTGCTTTGGAGAAAAATAAAGCAGAGAAGTGAGCTCTGTTTTATAGGAGTGAAGGGCAGAATGACAGTTTTAAATAAGGTGTTCAGGAAACCTCATTGTCCTGAAATTTCCCCAACTGAATTTGGTCATGATAAAAGGCTTTTTCTATCTAATAATAGAGCAACTCTGTGAAAAGAGGGAAAGACACAACAAAGGTGATGATCAATGACTAAGGAACAAGAGCTGAACACATTTCTCAACCAAAAAGATAAACCCCCTCATTGACGGTTGGGTCACAGATTTCGTAGCTGGCCTGTAAACAATTTTCCAATCGTTACCTTCACTCTCCCTTCTTTCGTTAATTATGATCTCAATAGAAGTCCTGTAAGTAGTAATTGTGCCTGACAATCGTACAGAGAAGACAAAACACATGTTAGCAAATTTTTTAGCTGACCGAGCCCATGGGAGATGACTGAACCCTTGGGCAAATGGTCTGTTTCTCCCCCAGGAGATAACCTATCTGGAGATGTTAGTGTCCTTTTATGTCAAATTGAACATATACCTGTGTTCACAGCAGCAACCATCAGCTTAGGAGCAGGCATCTTCTTGGCACAAGCACCCGCTGAGAAGCTTGCTCCGCAGAAGCCCTGCTGGTAAATGGTACTTAGGTATGCCAGGTACCGACAAGCCTCCTGAGGAGAATGGATGTGTCCTCAAATGAACCACAAAGCACCCAACAACTTTCTATTAGTGGATCTTTAGGTTCTTTCTAAGTTTTTGCTATTATAAAAATGCTGTGACGAACACTTCTCTTGTATATCTCTTCCACACTTACCTAATCATATTCTCAGGATAAACACCTAAAAGGGAAATTGCTGAGTGAAAATATATGCACATTTTAAAGCCTACAGTGCTCTTTATTTTCATTTTTTTAAATTTTTTGTTTATTGCAGTAACATTGGTTTATAACATTGTATAAATTTCAGGTGTACATCATTATACTTCCATTTCTGCATAGATTACGTCATGATCACAACCCAAATACTAATTACAACCCATCACCACACACATGTGCCGAATTATACAGTGCTCTTTAAACTTTAATATGTGTATGAAACACTTGGAGATCTTAAAAATGTAGATGTGGATTTAATAGACAAGGAATGGGCCTGAGATTCTTTATCTTCAACCAACTTCCAGGTGATGTTGATACTGCTGGTTCTTAGATCACGTTTTGAGTTGCAAGTTTCTAATGTGTTTTGCCAAGTTGTCTTCCAGGAAGCAGATACATTCTAATAGTATTTTATGTTTATAAAGTGCTTTAAAGTGTAAAAATACTTTCACATACATTCACTCATTTGGTTAGTTCAGGACCATTGGTGTTATCACCCATCCTTGTTTTATGGATACAGAAACAAGCTTGGCTTGGCTACTAGGAAGTTTAAGAATAACCAGGATGGTAATGAGCTTCTTAAAACCTTGTAACATAAAGAGCCACTGAAAATACTTTTGATGTTTAGCCTAGAGGATATATGTTAAAAAATACATTATAATTGTGTTCACAAAAGGCTGTTCTATGGAAAAGGTCATATACACATATTTTGGGTAGACAAAAGTCTATTTAGGACCAAATATGTGAATGTTACAGAAAAGCTGAATTTGCCTCAATATAAGGAAGAACTTCTGGTTGCTAATGCCAGACAAATATGGAACGGAAAATTTTGTAAGGTATGAATTCCCTGTCATTGTAAGTACTCAGACAGAGGCTAGATTACCACTTTGTGGTGGATAATAGAGGAACTCAGGCAGGGTGTGATAGTGAAGTTGTTGCTAAAGATTCTAGAGTGTGAGACCTGAGATTCTATCTTGGTCAGGTGCAGTTCTGAGAGAGGCACAAAGAGGCTGAGGAGGCTGTATACTGGATTGAAAGTATGGTGGTTATTAGGGGAACGGGAGGCTGTTGGCACTGTTTACCCATCTACATGGCTGGGGTCCTGGAGTCACCCCCCTGAGCCATTCCTGGAAGAGTCCACGCTCCCTTAATTGTGGCTACTCCCGTGAGAACAATGTATATATCAGCCTTGGTATCTCTTCCTCCTTTAATTTTAACTTTCTATTACATATTTCAACAGAAAGCTTCTTCTTAAAACCATGTCTCAATTCTGGAGAACAGGAATCACAGAACCAGGAGAACAAGTTCTCTCTTTAAGTTGCTCTAGACCTTAGGCAAATGACAAGCTAAACTAATTTTCTTATCCCTTGACCATGACTCACTTTTTTCTGTTTAGACGAACTCATCTGTATCTACTGTGTACTGTACGTAGTCCCATCACTTCTATGTGCCCTATATTTTCTGGGGCAGTTCTCTTTAAAAATAATCCCCATGGAGCTTCTGGATCAAGAAGGTGAACTGAGCAAGCACATTTACTACCCCTCCCAAAATCTCATTAAAGTGGTAGGCAAGTTATACAAAAGGAATAAATCGATGACAGCACTGAGAAAAGGAAATGTTCTATGGACCAGATTTATGAAAAACAGTTTTATTGAGATATAACTCACATGCTATATAATTCACCAACTTACAGTGTACAATTCAATGGTTTTTAGTATATCCATAGAGTTGTGCAGCCATCACTGCAATCAATTTGAGAACATTTCGTTATCCCCAAAAGAATTCCTGTACCCATTAGTAATCACTCCTCATTTCTTTCCAACATCCCTCAGTCCTAGGCAACTACTAATTTACTTTCTGTCACTCTACGTTTGCCGATTCCGAACATTTTATATAAATGGAATCATACAATACATGTTTTTGTGTGACTGGCCTCTTTCACTTAGCATGGGGTTTTCAAGGCTCATCCATGTTGTAGCACATATTGGTACTACATTCCTTTTTATTGCTAAATAATATTCCATTGTATGGATACCACATTTTATTTATCCATGCATCAGTCGATGGACGTTTGGGTTGTTTTTACTTTCTGGCTATCATGAATAATGCTGCTATATGATTGATGTGCAAATTTTTGTGTGGATATATTTTTCATTTCTCTTGGAAAAATATCTAGGAATGGAATTGCTAGGTCATATGGTAACTCTATGATTAGCATTTTGAGAAACTGGCAAACTGTTTCCAAAGCAGCTATAACATTTTACATTCATACCAGCAATTTATGAGGGTTCCAGTTTCTCCACATCCTCTCCAACACTTATTATCTGTCTTTTTCGTTATAGTCATCCTAGTAGATATGAAGTATTATCTCATTGTGGTTTTGGTTTTCATTTTTCTAAGGGCTAATGATGTTGGCCATCTTTTAATGTACTTGGCCATTGTATATCTTCTTTGGAGAAACGTCTATTCAGAACCTTTACCCATTTTGCCTTTTTATTATTGAGTTGTGAGAGTTCTTTATATATTCTAAATACAAGTCCCTTATCAGATACATGATTTGCAAATATTTTCTCCCATTCTGTAGATTGTCTTTTAACCTTGTTGATGGTGTCCTTTGAAGCACATAAGTTTAATTTTGATAAAATACGATTTATCTATTTATTCTTTTTTTATTTGTTGCTTGTAGTTTCAATGTCATATCTAAGAAGGCTTTGCTTCTTTGTGGACCAGATTTTGATGAAATTTTTGTAAGATGGAATTGAGATGGGATCATCTTGACAAAACAGAGTAGAAACCATGGCCCTGAACAGATGGGAGAAGGCTGGAACAGAGATGGGAGATATCTGTACTAAGGTGTGAGAGGCTCCATCAGACCCACCATTTATGTGGTGTATATTATTTACTAAGCATTGATTAAGTTTTACAGAGGGCCG